TTGCATTCGCACACAGCTGATGTTTCATATCCATGACCAGAGACGAATGAGGCTCTGAGGTCAGCAATTTTGCCACTTCTTTAACAGATCTGTGGAGAGGCGAGCCCGCTCAGTAATGCACATTTTTCAAGATATTTTTGCGTAATACTTACAACTACTGTATAATGAAATAAATGCTACAGGTTTGAATCTAATCCAGGTGCCGACCAGAGGTTTGGTGTAGTTATGACAGCACTCGATGACGTATTTATGCAGGTTGATGTAAACAGTAACTTTTTTGAAAACGATGCTGTGTGCACAATGTTATTTTGGAACATGGAGGGAGGGAAATATTCGTTTCTCAACATACCCAGTTCTGTGTAAACGTAGCCTTAGCAGCCGTCCTCTTAAAATTTTTGGTACCAAGTCCAAATTTGGTGAAGAGTGATTGTTTGCGAGCAGATTCCAAGAAGCAAAATGACTTCTCTTTGGGAGTGAACGGCTCAACGTGAAAACAGAACAAAAATAAAACATTATGTAACCCAGATTAAAATATCGCATATCTGTCAATAGCCAATGTTCTGGAAACTACTGGTCAGTACACGTTCACTATTTTCTATTTTCTTTTCTTTTTTTTGTCTTTTTTTTTGCTGTATCGACCGCCCCGCATCTTGAGCTTTTAACCATGTTTCCTCAGCAAAACCTAGAAGTTGTATTTGCTTCATTCATTAATTTTTCAAACCTGCTGAAGAGTTTTTTCCTCTTAGCACTAACTCATTACTTCTCCTGATTGCAAAAGATTAGAAAACCAAAAGTCGTCTCCCCAGTTTTCAAATCAATGAACCTTCATTTGACTTGTCGTGAGCATTTCGTTATTCAAATTACAATCACTGTAAACGCATGGAGATATTATCGTGACAGCTTTTTTGCTAAATGGCTGCTAAAAGTCTTGTTTTTGATGATTCATTCCTATTTCTGACAGCAGAGGGAGCTCTAATGTAAATCTAATTGTTGGAAAATGGATCTTGCTTATTAAAGGTTGTATAGAGGATTTTCCAAGGAACGAGAAATCCAGCGACTGTTTGTCCTTTTTTAAATGTTGCGCAAGCATGAAACCCCCCCCCTCCCCTACAGCTCCTACGTAGAAACGCCTCCTCCCTCCTCCTCTTTATGCCAGAAACAGGTTTGTTTACAGCCGGTGCTGCACATGACTTGTAAACAACTAACTACAGTGTTGGTTAGGCAAGACGGAGAAGTGAGGAGCGGGGGGGGGGGGCGCGGACATTTCGTTCGCGGACGAGAAGTGAGGAGCAGGGAGAAGAGCGGAGCAGGGAGAGAGGAGAGAGGAGAGAGGAGAGGGGAGAGGAGAGAGGAGAGGAGAGAGGAGAGAGGAGAGGGGAGAGGAGAGAGGAGGAGAGAGGAGAGAGGAGAGGGAGCGGTGCGCGGAGATTCCGTGATTCCGTGCCCGGAGAAGTGAGGAGCAGGGGGAAGAGTGGATCGGGCAGCGGGGAGAGGAGCAGGAAAGGGGTGCAGAGAAGGTTGAGCGGAGATTCAGTGCGAATGAACTAGCTACAACACGCAGCAGCAAGCGGACTCTTTCTTTGCCTTGAAAATTACGTTTTCAGACATAGGATATCGCTTTCGTGTCCTGAAAAACATTTGTCTAACTCTTGGAAATAAAGTACGTTTTCATAATAAGCAGAAGTTTCCTGTCCAGGAGTAATTTGTGGACCAGTGCGTCAGTCTTTAGACCCTGCGTCTGCTTCAGTCGCGCCATCGCTGGAATGAATGAATCTACAAGAATCACCTTAGTTTGGCTTCGCTGCTTTTCCCCTTGTCTTCTTCTTTCAGCGACCTCAAAAACGGACTTTCTTTTGCGGCGAACTGCTCCTGGATTCTTGTCGCCATTGCAACAAACTTTGTGCGAACTGCGAGGAAGATATAGGTCAAAAAAAGCCGCTAAGAACTGTTGCGTTGGTGGAGTAAACAGCGTCTGTGCGTCTTGCGTCTGTGGACTGTGTGACAGTCGTACGTAAACCACGTACCGGCGGCGCAGGCAAGTCAGTCAGTTACACTAGAAACGTAGGGAGATTGATTGACAGCCTGTCAGCTCACAGATAACGAGGCAGTGTCGTTATCTATTGGCAAATGTTTATCTGTCCCCACCACGTCCAGAGTTGATGAATTTTTATTCTCTTTTTTTTGGTCATCATAATTACAAGGCTACTGCATCTCTATAATGCTCATTATCATTAATCATTGACAATTTGAAACCAAAAAAAATCCTCCATACAACCTTTTAAGTGTGTTTTCGAAATGTAGGTTTTAGTTTAAAACATGAAATACAAAAGCCAAGGAAACCAAAATCATGTTCAAAAGCCGATAAAAGCCAAAACAGTGAATCTTATATCTGCTTTTCCTTGGTAATAACAATCAAAAGTCAAACTGAGATTCAATTCTCTGTTACAAACTATTCTGGAGCTTATTTCAAACTGGTTTTAGTTGTAGGATCAGACAGCCCACGGTGAAAAACACATTCTTCTGTTCCAGTGTTGCAGCACACAGACTCAAACGTAAAAGTCATTTGTCTGTCAGGGTTTCAGGTAGAGCGGGAATCATTCGGAGGGCTGCCACTTGTTAAACATGCGTTGGGAGCAGAAGTCGGCAGCTCTGAGCCTGTCTGTGTGTCTGAGGAGAGCGGATCACAGGCAGGCGTGATGGGGCTGCACTGGATCAATACACGCTCCACACAAAAGCTCCTCCTGTTCCTCTGATAGAAGAGATCTGAAAATGTCACTCTGGTCTGACGTCTGCATTACCTGATTTTCTAACCGTTAAAGAAGAATAATGTGTTTATGTAAATGTGTGGAACTGGCCCTTTGACACGTTGTTGATATTCACAGGCTGGAGTTTTCAAACATGTCACAGGGTGAACGGCCAATATGTAGTTTCATGTTTCCTCTTCAGCAGTTGAAGAAGTAGCAGAAGAAATCGAAATAAAAGGTGTTTAAACTTAGACTTAAACTTAGACAAACTTTATTGATCCACAAGGGAAATTATTTAGACACAGTAGCTCACACATCCTAATATAATATAATAACAGAGAGCAAAATATCTAAAATATAAATGGTAATAAATTCTAAATAAGTAGCAAAAAAGAAAATAAGAGACAGGTGCCAAATGGACATAATTATAAAAAAGTAAATGTACAAGTCAAAATAAAATAGAAAAATAAGTAATACAATATAGCTTTATTAGCTCTCAGCTTTATTTGAGAGGTCATAGCAAGACAGTGCGACAATATGATGATCTAGCAAAATGCTATATAAGACAGTCCAGTTTCATTCTCAATTAGCATAATTTTAAGTGTTAACTAGAAAAGCAGTCAGAGAGCGCAGACCTCCACCAAGGACTACCCCCATTTTTTATATAAATTGCAATAAAATCAGTCTTCTGGATCAGATCCGGATCAGCCTTTGGAATATGAAAGAGGATCCCATTGTCCATCCCTGAGTCAAATTTCATGGGGTTTGGTCAATAATTAACCGAGATATTGAGAAACAATTTTTTTGGCCCCATTTACCACAATGTTAACTAAAATTTCAAAGTGATCCAGAATCCAGGATTTTTTCCGGATCACCCCCAAAATGAAATCAGTTCTTCCTTTTCACATTTCCAACAAATCCTGAAAATTTCATCAAAATCGGTCCATAACTTTTTGAGTTATGTTGCTAACAGACAAACAAAACAAACAAACAAACAGACAAACGCCGGCAAAAACATAACCTCCTTGGCGGAGGTAAAAATCTGTTTTTCTTTTTAAATAATTTACTGTATTACCTTGTCATTAGGCCAACTTGGTGCTATGGTATAACTACATTAAAATGTAAATTCTTAGGTTACATTTACACAGAAACTGACGTCACATGGGAAGTGGAGCACTGACCTGCAGCATGAGAGAGCAGAGACATCCAGGGTTGTTCCTCATTTTCCATGGCCTAACAAGTAGTTCGAGCTACGCTGTTTCCTGTTTGTGTCTGATTTGTTTAAATTGTTTTCTACAATAGCGTCACATGACCGATGTCACAAACCCAGCGAATCAGGAGGGAGCAAGTCACAGTGACGTGGTCCAATAAGTGACTAGAGCTTTTACGTCAGAGTATCAACGTTTTCAGGCGTCCACACAGAGCGGATCACATCCATACTCAGATAAATTTGTGGGAGCTGGCGGCACCAGTTTTCCATCGGATTAGTGTGGATGAACACTGCATTCGCATCGAGAACAACTTGAATACGTACGAGTGTGGAGGGGGCTTAGTTACAAAAATATTGTCAAGTGGCCAAGTGTTTTCTTTTGTTTTTAAATTGTTGGTCTTTAATTTTGGTTCACAAGATGAATATCCAGAATGAGCTTTACTTGAGTGTGCCTTTTGTTCTGTCTGATCTTACAGCCTAATCCAGTTGTTTAAAACCCTCAAAGGACTGATCAGTGCTAGTGCAGCCTCTGTGCATTCTGGAGGTTCTGACCTTTCACATGAGACATGGCCTGTCCATTACTGATTATGAGAAAACATGTGTGTTCTCAATTTGTAAATTAAAGCAATGGTAAGACGGCAAACCAGGTTCAGTTGTGATTGTAGTTTTGTTTTCATGACACTAAAATCTCCTACACTGTATCAGGTACAGTTACTTGTTCAAAAGAGTTTTCTTATACTTTGACAACTTGAGATTGCAGTGCCTTTTTACACCAGTACGAGCGCAGGCTGCAAACCCTCCTCCATTACACTGATACTGTGTTTGAACCTGAGCCTTCAGTGCACCGCCTGTTTGTGTATGCTACAGATCAGTCTCCCTCACAAAATGACGGCTTGTTTTTTTCTGCCTGTCAGAACCCCACTCTTCTCCCTCTGACAGCTCTGCCCTCTTTTCCTGGAAAGGCACAGATTATGAATAAATCATGCCTCCGACATTAAAAGCCACACAAAACACCGCTATCAACTGTCTTTTTTATCTCCCCCCAGGGCCTGCTGCTGTTTCAGGACTACAGACCCTCCACATTTGACCTGGAGAAGATCCCCTGTCGCCGCTTCGAAGCCATGGACTATTACGCCAAGTGTTTTCTGATCCTGAAGCTAGAGGGCAGCAGAGTGCAGGGGGGAGTGGAGGGGGACCGAGGGTGGAGGGCGGTGAGGGTGGACCTGGTCTGTCCTCCAACCGAACGCTTCGCCTTCACTCAGCTGGGATGGACTGGCTCACGGGTAAGAGACTGATTAAAGAACTAAAGACTTAATGCTTTTTCTCATATTAAAACGGCCCATATTACGTTATTTTCTGATCACTGGCCCCATTTACATGATGTTTTTAAGTTCCGAATTAAACAGTTTGGAATTTAAATATTCTCCTTCAAGTTTACATGGAAAAAATTGAGGCTGGTTCATCAGCCGGTTTCACTTCGTAGAAACTGTCTGACCTCACAGTGTTAGAATTCGTTCGCTCAACAGTAGGCGAGTACTTTTCATCATTTAACCAATCGCTGCTATTTGGTTGTGACGTATGTAATAACTGCAGTGTTGGGGAGTAACAGATTACATGTACCCGCGTCACGTAATCAGAGTACAAATTATGAGTAACTGTATTCGGTTACAGTTACTGTTTCAGTGAGTGGTAATTGGATTACAGTTACTTTGTTGAAATAAATGGATTACAGGGCGGTATTTTCCTGTTTTCACATTTTGGGCTATTTTTTTTTTTTTCCTCAGTAATTCCACTCATTGCCGGACACTAAACCAGGTCTAAACCAGGACTGAACCAGGTCTAAAACCAGGTCTAAACCAGGACTAAACCAGAACTAAATCAGGACTAAACCAGGATTAAACCAGGACTAAAACAGGACTAAAACAGGATTTAACAGGACTAAACCATGCTGCGCGGACCGTGTCTCCTCCTCTTCTATCAATAATATTTTTAAAACAGTTTAGTAAAGTCTGGTCTTTTTATTGTCTTTGCTTCTCTACAGAAAATCAAGTAATCCAAAGTATTCAGATTACGTTACTCACTTTAAGTAATTTAATGGATTACGTTACAAAGTACATTCTGAGGTATGTAATCTGTAATCTGTAGGGGAATACATTTTAAAAGTCACCTTCCCAACACTGAATAATTGGTATATTAAGCTTTTCCCAAATCCTGTAGGAAGAAGGACAATAACGTCTTTCCCCTTGATGAAATTCACCAAACATTCTCTTTGTTCCGACTTTAAATCCTCAATCTCGGGAATCGTTGACAACACTGAATGTATGACTCTTCGCTGATTGGCTGGTTCCCGAACTCGCACTTCCGGGGTTTTTGTGAACCGTCTATTGTATTTTGATTCGTGACCTAGTAATAAATGTCACCTAAACAAACCCAATTTAAAATCCAGTGGAGCCAGACCTAAGTTTGATAATCAACTGAAGCTTTTATATCGGCTCCAACTCCCGTTTTGTCGGTATCATATCGGCCACACAAAAAACTTCATATCGATCGGGCCCTAATTACATCGACCACGGTTTTCCCAGTGGGATGTGTCTATTGACAAAATCGATCTTTTCAAGTCTTTTGAACCATATCACTTCTGTTTCTGGTTCTGATATTGTCGTATTTTAGTTTTGGGATTCGGACATCGTAATTGTGTGGTTGTTGGAGCCTAACAGCGGAAAACGGCTCGAGAAACGAGCTTCGGAAGTTTGTGAACTCCATAAATGCAAAAGGGAATCAGATCTGCGTGAATCTATGTGAAACGTCTGTCCAAACTGTTTCCCTTCCCAACGGAACTGAAAAATAGTGAAAGGTGAAGGCGATGGGCAGAATTGATCCACAGGAAGGACGAAAAACGTAATCTTTGGCTGCCTAAGAAAGTTTGCAGTGAACATTTTGTATGTGGATCCCGATCCCTCGCTCAACCTCGGTTACGAATTTAAAAAGTCAACGCCAAAGCGAAAGGCACCAGTTGTTCGCCAAGAAACACCTTCCACTGCAAAGAGACCAAGACGTGATGTTGCTGTAAAACAACAAGAACAAGAAAGTGCAGCTCAGTCTGTTTGTCTCCTGTTCCTCTCACTTAACAAACAGGATTCTGCTTTGTTGTCGCTCCACATACAAAATGTTCTCTGCAAACACGGGATGATTTCTTAGGCAGCCAGAGGTTTCCTTTTTCGTCCTTCCTGTGGATCAATCCTGCCCATCGCCTTCGCCTTTCACTATTTTTCAATTCCGTTGGGAAGAGAAACAGTTTGAACAGAAGTTTCACATAGATTCACACAGACCTGATTCCCTTTTGCATTTATGGAGTTCGCAAACTTCCGAAGCACATTTCTAGAGCCATTTTCCGCTGTTAGAACATCCAACAACCACACAATTAACGATGCCCGAATCCCAAAACTAAAATACGACAATATCAGAACCATAAACAAAAGGGATATGGTTCAAAAGACTTGAAAAGATCGGCTTTGTTTGGGAAAACAAACATGGTGGCTTGATGCTCACTTTTTCGGAAAATCCTTCCGAGTAGGCACTGCTCAATGACCCGAAGTCTGAAATTCGTGATGCATGTATTCCAGGGCAGAAAGGTGGAAGAAAAGTGTTTGTTCCCCATATTAACTGATCTCGATTTTTGATTTGATCTTCTTCCATCTTATCGAAAACAAAGACATAAAGAGCCAGGTCTCATGATCACTACAGCTTTTATTTCATGCTTGGACCAATAATTCTGGAGAGTCCACATTATTTAACGTTTGGAATGAGTTTGTACGATATATTACGCCTAAATGTTCGTGCGCGTTACTGTTATCGGCACAAACACGCGCCATGTCCGTGCGCTAAACAAGGTCTTAAGTTGGGCTCATAAACGGTGAGAAAATAGTCGTTTACTTTCTGCATCTTGGGCTATAATGATAAGAAGAACCAGAGGAGAGAAAGAGGAGAAAAGGTGAGGGGCTGGATCAGAGAGAGAGAAGGAGGAGGACAGGTTCAGACTCACACAGACGCAGAGAGAAGCAGAGAACTGTTAAAATGCACTTATCAAAGAGACTGAAGTTTAGATCTTTCTTTCGATTTTGAACCTAAAACCAGGACTAAACCAGAACGAAAATAAGGCTAAAAGAGGACTAAACCAGGACTAAACCAGGACTAAAACAGGACTAAACCAGGACTAAACCAGGACTAAAACAGGACAGGACTAAAACAGGACTAAAACAGGATTAAAACTAAACCAGGACTAAAACCAGGACTGGACTAAAACAGGAAAAACTGAAAAACCAGGACTAAAACATGGATCTAAAACCAGGATCTAAACCAGGACTGAACCAGGATTAAACCAGGACTAACCAGGACTAAACTACGTCAAAACAAGGTCTAAACCAGGACTAAAACAGGACTAAAACACCTGGTCTAAACCAGGTCTAAAACTCAGCCTAAACCAGGACTATAAGATGACTAAAACATGACTAAAACTGGACTAAACCAGGACTAAAACAGGACTGAACCAGGACTAGTCCTGGTTCAGTCCTGATTCAGTCCTGTTTTAGTCCTGGTTTAGTCCTCCTGGTTCAACCCTGGTTCAGTCCTGCTTTAGTCCTGTTTTAGTCCTGGTTTAGTCCTCGGTTCAATCCTGGTTTAGACCTGTTTTAATAGACCTGTTTTAGTCCTGTTTTAGTCCTGGTTTAGTCCTGGTTCAGTCCTGGTTTAGACCTGGTTTAGTCCTGTTTTAGTCCTGGTTTAGTCCTACTGGTTCAGTCCTGGTTTAGTCCTGGTTTAGACCTGGTTTAGTCCTACTGGTTCAGTCCTGGTTTAGTCCTGGTTTAGACCTGGTTTAGTCCTACTGGTTCAGTCCTGGTTTAGTCCTGGTTTAGACCTGGTTTAGTCCTACTGGTTCAGTCCTGGTTTAGACTTGGTTTAGACCTGATTTAGACCTGGTTAGTCCTGGTTCAGTCCTGGCTGGTTCAGTTCTGGTTCAGTCCTGGATTAGTCCTGTTTTAGTCCTAGTTCAATCCTGGTTCAGTTCTGTTTTAGTCCTCTTTTAGACCTGGTTTAGTCCTCCTGGTTCACACTTTTAAAAATCCCCACTACACTCCTGCTTCTCGGTAACAGTAAAACTTATCCTGACATCTCAAAACAAAACTACTTGCAATTTATTTTTTGTTATTTATTTAGTTATTTAAGTTTTCCATAAAATTTCAAATCCAGTTGTTTTGATCAGCGTTTTGGCACAGTGATTTTCAAATGCAACAAACAAAATCCCGTGTGGTTTCAGTGACAGGTTTTGGACATGACTACAGTAAAATCAGTCAGAGTGGGTCATTATTGTGCCAAAAATCCTGCTTCCCCCAAAGTTACAACTGGAGCACCTTGAGCCCGGCCTGAAAGTCGCCGCGAAGAGTCGTATAATAAAATATCAGTAATGTCTCGTGAAAAACTTTGCAACCTTGACATAAATAGTGGTAGTTCTCCACAGGAAATGCTTTTAAGCTTCACTATTTCCTTTCAGGGCCATAAAAGTCAAATAAATCAGGCGTATTTGATTTCGCTCCATTGATTCTTTGTGCCTTTGCAGCAGTTTGAGAGAGACCTCCGGAGGTTCGCGCGCATCGAAAGAAACATGATTTTGGACAACCATGCCCTGTACGACAAAACCAAGGTAGGCACCAATCTATACAGGAAATATTGGGATTCAAGCTTCAAACAGGTCTTTTGATATGACACTTTTGAGCCATGAGTGTTGTTTTGGGCAGGCTGAGGTCATGGACAAAAGGAAAGAAAAAGTCCAGGTTTTATTGTTGGGATGGAGAAATATTTCAGTGAGTTATGCCGACTGAAAAGCAGCAAAAGGATGTGACGAAGTTCTTTAAAGTAAGGCAAGGCAAGGCAAGGCAAGTTTATTTGTACAGCACAATTCGTACACAAAGTAATTCAAAGTGCTTTACAGAATAAGAAATACATTAAAATCATAATAAAAACAAATCAAAACATAAATAATCATGAAGATTAAAATTAAAAAAGAGAGACATAAATTGGAGAGAAGAGTGCGGAATGAAAACCTTTCAGTTATTTGCACAGTTAAACAGAAATGTTTTGAGTCTGGATTTAAACAGCGTCACAGAAGAGTCTGTCTCACATGTTCAGACTGTTCCAGGTTTTAGCTGCATGAACCTGAAACTCTGACTCCCCTTGTTTAGTCGTGACTCTGGGCACCAGCAGGAGGCCGGTCCCTGAGGTCCTCAGAGTGTGAGATGTTCATATGACACTAACATGTCACAGATGGACTTTGGTGCTCGGCCATGGAGACACTTGTACAAGCAGAGCTGCTTTAAAGTCTCTGAGCCACAGGAAGCCAGTGCAGAGACCTGAGCACAGGACTTATGTGCTCGTACTTCCTAGTTCGAGTCAGGACCCGAGCTGCAGCGTTCTGGATGTTCTGGATGTTCTGGATGTTCTGGATGTTCTGGATGTTCTGCAGCGTCTCACAGCTCGTTTGGAGAGACCAGTGAGCAGAAATTACAGTATCTAACCTACTGGAGACAAACGCATGGATAAGTTTCTCCAAGTCTGATTTAGACAGTAAACCTTTGATTTTCGCTATGTTTTTTAGATGGTAAAAGGCTGCAGATGTTATTGATTTTATGTGACTGTTAAAGTTCAAGTCTGAGTCCATTATTACCCCTAGATTTCTTGCCTGATTTGAAGGTTTTAGAGAGAGAGACTGGAGGTGACTGCTGACACTGTCCCTTTGTTTCTGTGGACCAAACACTATGACTTCAGTCTTGTCAGAGTTTAGCTGGAGAAAGTTGTTTTGCATCCACACACTGATCTGCTGGATGCAGTGACCAAGTGACTCCACTGGTCCATAGTCTGAGTAGGTGTATTGTGCTTGTGTCTGCTACATCTATAATCTATGACCCCCGTGGATTATTATTGTTATAATTTGCACATTTTAAATTTAAAATTACTTCATAAAAGAAACAAATCCGCTGACTTCTGTATTAGAAAACTGAGCTGACGTCGACGCAAACTCATCAAAACAAAGAGCAGTGAAGTTATCAGCACCTCCAATAGCTGCAGGTCACACCAACGAGCAGCAGATATTTAGATTTTTTTTTTCATTTGTACCAGAATGATTAAGCAACACTGTCGAATCCTACACATATCACCTACTAAGAAAATACAGCGTGTCCCAAAAAATTTGCCAATCAGCTCACGTTTTCACCAACACCAGCAGAGTCTGGATTTATTTCTCTAGTTTTTCAGGGTGTCCCAAAAAATTTGACATAATTTCACAGGCCAATTTTTCACAGAATGTATAAAAACAGACCAAGATTCTATATTTAATGTTTTATTTTTGTTCTGTTTTCAGGTTGAGCCATTCACTCCCAAAGAGAAGTCATTTTGTGTCTTGGAATCTGCTTGCACAGACTCACCCAAAACTGTGCAGCCTTCAGTGCAAAATGTGTAAAAACTTCACCAAATTTGGACTTGGTACCAAAAACGTAAAGAGGAAGGCTGCTTAGGGTATGTTTACACATACCCGGGTATGTTGAGAAAGGAAAAATAACATTGTGCACATAGCATCGTTTTCAAAAAAGCTTTCGTTTACATCGGCTCGCATAAATAGGCCATCGAGCGCCGTCATAACTACACCAAGCCTCTGGGCGGCGCCTGGATTAGATTCAAACCTGTAGCATTTATTTCTTTACAGTTGTAAGTATTACTCACCTTGAAAATCGTGCATTACTTAGTGGGCTCGCCTCTCCACAGATCTGTCAAAGAAGTGACAAAATCACTGACCTCTGAGCCTCATTCGTCTCTGGTCATGGATATGAAACTGTGAGCTGTGTGCAAATGCAAACACATGAAAAGTGTTTGCTCCAGAAGAAATGTGACTGCTGCTCTAAATGCTCCATCATCATCAGAGCAAAAGATAAACACTGGTCGCACTTTTGGCGCGTCAGCTCCTAAAACTCAGTTTATCTCACTTTACACGCAAACGATAAACCGTAGTTTTCCAGAATCTCCACTCTAATCTGAGTTTTTAGAAAGATTCATTTTCAGAGGTGAATTCGCTGTTTGTGTTTAAAAGATGGATACAAACGAAGGGAAATGTCTCAGTTTTAAAAAATACCGATGTAAGTGTAAACTTGGCCTTATACATGGCAAGGATCTGGTTCACCAAACCGTCATTCAAAGAATGTGGGTTTCCAAACTTGTTCTTCTTACAGACGTCTTGAGGCTTCGCAAGAGTTTTTCACGAACTTGCTCGACCTTCTCTTCTGATGTTGATGTTGCTCTACCAGATCCTTTAGCTCTACATAAGTGGTCTTCCTCTTTACATTTTTGGTACCAACTCCAAATTTGTTTGCCAGTTAGTGAAGTTTTTCCAAATTTTGCATTGAAGGCTGCAGTCTTGGGTGAGTGTGTTCGAGCAGATTCCAAGACACAAAATGACTTCTTTTTGGAAGTGCACGGCTCAGCAGAAAACAGAACAAAATTAAAACATTACATATAAAATCTTGATCTGTTTCTGTACATTCAGTGAAAATGTGAGGTTATTTCAACAAGAATTACCAAAATTACTGACTTGCGAAATGATGTCAATGTTTTTTTGGGACACACTGTAAAACTGGAGAACGAAGTAAATCCAGAGCAAAATGGCGTCTTGAAAATAAGTGAGTAAAGTTCGGTCAAACATGAACAAATCTCTCCAAATACAACTTGGAGAGGGTGAATAAGAAGGGAAACCAACTATTACGGTTAAAAGCTCTGGAAAGTTGATATTGCATAATTGGTCTGCTTTAAGGAGGCACTTTTCATTCTGTTATTTTGAGCTGGAAAGTTTGGTGACAGGTTGAGGTTACAAAAATACTAGTGGATCTTTTATTTATTTATTTTTTGGATCTTGATGGAAAATAGTTTCAGTCATTCGTTTTACCTTAGATTAATAACGAGGCGCTGATTTTTGTCACCCGAGGCCACAAACGCAAAATATATAAAAATAGTTACACAGTCAGATCTTTTTTGACACGGTTTGTTGAGCACAGTTTGAGTGACAGGTGAGAGGGTCAGATATAAACAGCTGATGTTCCAGAGCGTCCTCACCTTTGACCTTGACAGACACGAGTTGTCATAGTGATGGGAAGGAGCAGACTCTGAGACGCACAGCAGCCTTCAGCACTAACAGTTCAGAGTTATAACCCAATGACACAGCTCAGGGGTTTGTTTTTTAATCACATAAAAGCTCGGGTAGTTCTCCATAGCAGGTTAGTTACAGATTAAGAAACCATTAAAGGTCCTATGTTGCCCACAATTTACTCTTTTGAGCTTTGAGCCAAGTTAGAATGTTGTAACCTCATCAAAAACAAACCCAAAGTTGCATTCACCCAAACTCAAAATGCTCCGTTCTACCTTGTGATGCAGTTTTAGTTAAAGGTTGTATAGAGGATTTTCCAAGGAACGAGAAATCCAGCGACTGTTTGTCCTTTTTCAAATGTTGCGCATGCGTGAAACCACCCCCCCCTCCCCTACAGCTCCTACGTAGAAACACCTCCTCCGCCTCCTCTTTACGCCAGAAACAGGTTTGTTTACACCCGGTGCTGCACATGACTTGTAAACAACTAACTACAGTGTTGGTTAGGCAAGACGGAGAAGTGAGGAGCGGGGGGAGGGGGTGTGCGGACATTTCGTTCGCGGACGAGAAGAGAAGTGAGGAGCAGGAGAGAGGAGAGGAGAGAGAGAGAGGAGAGGGGAGCGGTGCGCGGAGATTCCGTGCCCGGAGAAGTGAGGAGCAGGGGGAAGAGTGGATCGGGCAGCGGGGAGAGGAGCAGGAAAGGGGAGCAGAGAAGAGTGCGCGGAGATTCCGTGCGAATGAACTAACTACAACACACAGCAGCAAGCGGACTCTTTCTTTGCCTTGAAAATTACGTTTTCAGACATAGGATATCGCTTTCGTGTCCTGAAAAACGTTTGTCTCGCTCTTGGAAATAAAGTACGTTTTCATAATAAGCAGAAGTTTCCTGTCCAGGAGTAATTTGTGGACCAGTGCGTCAGTCTTTAGACCCTGTGTCTGCTTCAGTTGTGCCATCGCTGGAATGAATCTCCAAGAATCACCTTAGTTTGGCTTCGCTGCTTTTCCCCTTGTCTTCTTCTTTCAGCGACCTCAAAAACAGACTTTCTTTTGCGGCGAACTGCTCCTGGATTCTTGTCGCCATTGAAACAAACTTTGTGCGAACTGCGAGGAAGATATAGGTCAAAAAAAGCCGCTAAGAACTGTTGCGTTGGTGGAGTAAACAGCGTCTGTGCGTCTTGCGTCTGTGGACTGTGTGACAGACGTACGTAAACCACGTACCGGCGGCGCAGGCAAGTCAGTTACGTTAGAAACGTAGGGAGTTTGATTGACAGCCTGTCAGCTCACAGATAACGAGGCAGTGTCGTTATCTATTGGCAAATGTTTAGCCCCACCACGTCCAGAGTTGATGAATTTTTATTCTCTTTTTTTTTGGTCATCATAATTACAAGGCTACTGCACCTCTATAATCTATCATTGACAATTTGAAACAAAAAAAAAACAAAAAAAAAATCCTCCATACAACCTTTAACAGCTCCTTTTTACTTTTAGTTCAGTAGAAAATCGGCAATTCCCGTGCTGCA